CTTTGCTCCTCCATTATGTTTGGTATGTTAGCCAGTAAAGATTCACTTCAGATAACATTGCAAGGGTAGGCTTAAGGGTAATGTTAGCTCAGCTAATTTAGGCTTTAGTTGGAAGGTACTAATCGCTATAATGCGTTGTTGTTGTTGTGGCAAAGTAGATGTACAGAGTGCAGGATCCCATAACTCATACAGGTCAGACTGGTTATTGACCAAATATGCTGATATTCTTGACAAACGCTGCTCTGTAGTCATGAGGTACATGACAGAAGATACTTCTGTTTCTCTTCCCAGATTACAGCAGAGCAACTGGCGCTTTGTATGTTGGCCTTGCCACCGAGCTATATCTCATTATTATGAAGAAAAAACATTACCAGGGAATGTTGATACCTTTAGCTTTCTTGTGCAACCGATTCTGTTAGTTGTAGGTTTACATATACTTTAACCTAGGTGTATGAACAGTAATAAAAATGGTTGTATTACAGTTATTAATCTTACCTAGCCACAAAGAGATACATTACCTCATCACTATGCATCATGCAAACAACTGTGTCTTTCTTTCACTCGCTTCAAAAACAAATGCAGGTTCTACATCCATGCACAAATTACCCAGATTAAGATCTTTACGACACCAGGTGCTGGTGCTCATGCTGCTTTTGTCCACAGGGGCTGCCAGAATCAACACAAAATCAAAGTTCCTTGTAGGGACTGTAATCAATAGTGAAAATAATCATTAGTTGCAGCCCTCAATGAAACTAATGAAGCGCCTGTGTCAACTTTAAGAGTAATACATTCACATGATGAACAAGGCAATTATAATGTAGGCATTTATGGCAAACCTAAGCGAAACGTTCTGTACTATGTTTTAAGAACATGACAAATATCATGAAAGGAACTTTCCTACTTAAGGGGATGTCACAGTGTTGTACTTCCTGCCCTTTTCATGCTAAATCTAGACACAATGCTGAAGAGACACGACAGGAAGGCTTTGACAAGATCACACTGAGAACCTGATCCAAGCTCCTGTGCTTTGAGTAAAGCCAAAACGTGATGATGAAGGTGACGGGAGAAGTAGCAACAAGGACTAAAGTAGAGTTTTTGATCAGTTAGCAATGCAATACACCATGTAATAAACAGAAAAATACATAGCCTTGTATTATGGAGATTCATCTTAAACAAAAGAGAAGATAATTACTATATAAAAGAGAAAATGGTAAATAAGTATTTTATCTAAAAAATAAATAAACCATGTAATTATTCATTCTGAATGTTTTTGTGTACCTGTAACTTGCTGCATAAGATTTAAAGAAATAATTAAAACTGACTTGAAAACAACAACAAAAAAAAGAAAAAGCTGTAATATTCTCAAATCTGAATCAACTTATATCAAACAGCATGTTAGCCCTCTGAATAAATTAAGTGTAATGGACCAAATGTTGTTTAATTTAATGTTGTGCATTGTTTCAGTCTGTCTTCCTCAGGCTATGATTATGTAAGCAAACTTCACTAACTAACTTTGTGTTTTACATGTAACACAGCATGCTTGACATACACTAGGTGGGTTTACTGCCACTTGTTTTAATGCACATTTTCAGTTTGTAAATAAAAACAGCTGGATGGAAATGCGAAAATTGAAACACTGCCAAAACTATCACAAAGTTTTTACACTTGGCTGAGGTGGAAAAGTAGTGATAAAAGCAAGATTCAACAAAGTGATGGAAAAAGACTTAGTAAATAAATCATGACACACATGAAGCATGTGATTTAAACGCTGACTGAAGAGACAAAAATGTTGACAAATAAAAAACCTTAGGTCAATTCATAAATGCCATATTTCCATCACATTTTCTATATTGTTTTCCACCGTTTGAGGTTTGACTGGTGCCCATTTAATCTCACTGTGCCCTCTTCTTCTGCAATGGTTTACTGGCACCTAACAGGAGCCAGTCTAAGAAATGTACGGTGTTAAACATTGGTGTGATGTGTTGCTGCAGCTGCAGAGACTATTTCTTAAAGAATCCTGAGAAAAACCAATTACAGTGGCCCGATCTCTGAGAGTTAAACGCAATACTTTGTTTCAAATCTATTTGTATGCATTTTAGGAGGAAAACTTTGACAAGGAAGCCTCACTTAATGTTAGAAAATTCACTTTGTGTCAGAAGGTACTTTTATAACTAGTAGACCTTTAACCCTGTTCCTTAAAAAATCCACGTTCAGGTCAATACCACCGGTAGAATACATTCACAGTTTTTCATTTCCTATTATTTATATCCATTTCTACTCACCTGTTTATGTACTTTACTAGAAAACTCATTAGCCTCAGTGCACCAATAAACATGCACGTCAGAGGGGCGTGCAGGAAAAATACTACATTTACCCACTTGCCATTTCCTTTTTTTTTTACTGCAGCTTAACTGCACAGACAACTAAGTAAACTTTATGCTGCCTGTTAGCAGTGCAGCTAACCTGTATCTACTTGACGGTGAGTCTGTTCACCCCTCGCCAAGGCGGGGGCAGAGAGCGTTTCAGACGGCATGGTGTTGTTTACAGACTGACAAGTAAATGGAGAGAAACACACCGAAGTTGACGGTGGATTGTTGGGAGACCCGGGGTAGCTGGTCTCTAGCACAGAGACACTATTTCCCAGAGCCATAAACTTCTTCCACACAGTCATTCCCTTCTTTTTCTTTGGATTAGCCTAGATGTATTGCTGCCGTACCGTTTTGTTATTAATATTCCTTTGACAGTTTATATTTTTATTTAGTCTAATCATTTTAGTCCTTTTGTTGAATAAAATTAGTTTTGTAGATTTGTTAAAATATATTTTAAAGTATATATAAATGATTATGATTGTTTTTTTATAGATTCAATTTTTTGCACCAAACCATCCCCAGTTAGTAAACTAAAATGTATCATAGATAATGTGTAAAATGACTCATTACCACACCCACACACATAAATGCATAATCTAACTAAAACTGAGTGAACTTCTGCAACTGTTTCTCCCTTCTCATATCTCAAGTTTGAATTTAACATTCACTATCTCTTTAAATAGTCAAGTGCCAACACAGATTTTCAGACAGTACTTCTCTGTAGGCAGTGGTGTGGGTCACTATAGTACTGCTTCAAGGCAGGCACCATGGATATTTTGACTGTTTTGTGAGGAGGATCCTAATTAGCCGCTACATTCCTTAATTAAACGAGTGCAGAGTTAAACAGTGTAACACAAGCACAAATGTCAATGGTGCCGACTTTGTAGCACCTAATTTAGCACACTTAAAAAAGGCTATTCTGTTAGAACTAGTATTATTTTTTTACCACCAGTGCCTTGTTAAACCAAGCCTTCATGCGTTAGACATAGGTTCCCTCTCAAAGGATTTGCAATTTAAGGCTATAGTGCATTGTGCTGTAGTGGCATGTTATACATAAAGAGTTCCTGATATAATATGATTCAATGAATGGAACTGTATTGCAACACGGTGAAAACAAAACAGAGAGCTAGTTAGACGGACAGACAGACAGGTAGCCAATAAGAAAGACAGATAAACAGCAAGATAGCTTATAGGTTATATTTTACACTTATTTGGGCAATGTAAACATCTGTTACCCACGCCAATAAAGCCCCTTTAAAAAATAGTAAGACAACGAGCTAGTAAAGAAATAAGCACATAGCATGACAGCTGGTCAAACAGACAGGATGGGTGGATAGACAGCTACTGTAGCCAGTTAGACAGACGGCTAGTCAATAAGAAATACAGATAGATAGACACAGAGTGAGTTAGTTACGTGGACAGTTAGTCAGAAGGAAGCTAGTCTGACAGACAGGGTGGATAGATAAATAGCAAGGTAGACAGGTAGCTTGCTAGTCAGACAGACAGCTAGTCAAAAAGAAAGACAGATCAGAATGCTTGCAAGAGACAGACAGGCAGTTAGTAGTGAGACAGACAGGACGGATAGATAACAAGACACACTGCAAGTTAGCTAGTCAAAAATAAAGACATAGATTGGTAGTCAGAAACACAGACAGATCGCAAGACAGGTAATCAGAAAGAAATACTGTTAGTAAGAGAGAAAGAAAGGTGAGAGCAAGACAGCTAGTCAGACAGATAGATGGGCAGATGCTCTTACATGGTGGGATTTTAATCGATCCAACTCAATGCTGAGAGTGCACTTTCTACAAAGAGTGCCAATGTCAGAAACAAATCGAAGGACAGATCTCTGTAAATGTGGAACAACATGTCACATACATTCACATGGAGCACTGTGACAGGCCAAACTGGGGGGTGGAAACTTGTAGTGGGGTAGTGGGTGGCTGTATTCCCTTGAGGGCTTGCTTTACTATACACTACATCAACTGTAGCTTGCACTGTACTGAAAAAAATAAAACAGATTTACACTCCCTTCTAGATTGCACTCTTCCAAGTAGTAAAAAGATTAGCCAGCAGTGGCAAAGTATCATCTGAGGAATGCCAATTCAGCAATATATTCTCATTTCTCTGCCCTTGGACTGTCTTGCCAATCACTCCTCGATCCACAGTGCTTTGGATTTTGCCAAATGTGGGTCACAAAAGGTCTGGTCCACAGGGGAGTCGTGGTGAGAATAATGAAACAGAAATGGAGAACATCTGAGAATATATAAAGTACTGCTGGGACACACCCTCATTCTGGTGCCACAAATGAGCCAATTAGGCTCAGACTTGTCTCTTCATGAGGATGCTAATAATGGTGAATGTGGCGATGAGAACTTGTTTTTCCCTTCTGAACTTTGATTTATTTTTTAGCACTGTGCATGTAGAGTATATGTGTGTGTGTGTGGTGATGCTCTTTCATCTTGGTACCAACTCAGTGTATTCTTTTCAGCATATAATACTTAGTGTTAATATGACTTTAATTCATGTGCAGTCCTCCCTAACATTAGAGATGGTTTTGGAGCATTACGTACACAAATGTCATGTTTATGAGATACATTTGACCATCAACTGCTCTCATTCATCCCAACTCACCGTAGTCGCTCTCGTAAAAGATGATGAACTTCTGCCAGTGCAGTTCTGAGATGAGGGTGAGCAGAACGTCATTGATTCGAACAGGTGGACGGGCAGCCAAGGTGTAGCTCTCTCCGTCTGGGCTGGGGTTGAGCTGGCAGGCAGTGCGGGGTGCACCATCCCCGTTTCTCTGGATGAAAAGATGGGGAATGTGCATTGCATCTGTCAGAGACTGCAGGGCACTTGCAGCTGCACAGCCTGTGGATGTGACCAGAGCGAGGATGCCCTGATTCATCAACTCACATGCTGGACAGAAGAAAGAAAAAATAGAAAGGAAAGGAAGAGGGGAGAAGACAAGGATTTGAAGAGAGGAAATAAGGATGAAAGACACAGACAGGATAGAGGAGGAAGTAAGAAATAGGAAAAAGCAGATAAATGGAGAAAAATGAGGTGGGGAGAAGAGGAGAAGAAATGAGATAAGACATGGTTAGATATGCTTTCCAAGTCAATTCAAACAGTGATCAATTCCAACAAGATTTTCATATCAAAAATATTTTTTGTCAAGTTTTAAGAGCACTGGACATTATTCAAGAAAGTGCACTCAACTGGGCTTAAGAATTCAAGATGGTTCTTTGTGTATCCTACTTAGGATTACATCTGAGCCTCTGCAGTTGAGAGCAGATCACAGAAAGGAGGGGGTTGGTAGTGAAGTTGTATTGTAATGTGTAGATGAGAGATTCAGTGGGGGGCATCCTCTAATCCTTGTCCCCAGACAAAAATGAGACAGCTGATTAAAGCGAAAAATGCTTGTTAGAGGTAACAGTCACTTGAAAACAGCAGATGCATCAGAGAGCTACAGGAGTTGGTGTGTTTCTTAGCGAAAGCGCAGAACAGCGCCTGAGTGGGAGGAATCGGTCACAAATAAAAATCAGGAGTATTTTAGCTTTTTACAGAAGGTTAGATGCAAAATCATGCCTCTCATGAATCTAAACTAAATATTGTCCTTCACACCCTTCTCTTCTCTCTCTCATCTCTCTCTCTCTCTCTCTCTCTCTCTCTCTCTCTGTCTCTCTCTCTCTCTCGCTCTTTTCTATAAACCTAAATCTATAAACCAGCACAGATTAAGCCTGCAGACACGTTTGTAATGTCTGTACATTTTTATTTACACATGTAATTTGGACAAAATCTGTCTTAGATCCTCTTAGGGCAGGTCAGCATGTCTGCTGGGACAAAATGCCAAATACCTTTTAAAGAAGAAAATGCCATCTCTGACATTATTAATACATCTAAAATTGACGAGAAAAGCTGTTCTGTCTAAGTGGTGGTAAATATTTAATGACAGTGGGTAGACTTGAGGTTGCAGTGATCTGATCTATTAGGCATTCATTATTTTCTCTTAAAACTATCTGACAGTTGATCAATCACCTAAAAAGATGATTCATTCAAACAAAATGACCATGTTTAGTGAAGTTAACTTTAAATATACAACACAATTTCATACCTCTATCTTTAGTACAGTTGTGAGTAGTGTAAAGGTAAAATACAGTTCATAAGCTGTTTTTACTTTTTTCTCTTTCTACAGTTGGTTTTCATGTGCATTTAAAACATTCATCCGTATTAAAATCTTCAATTTCACATTTAGCACACAGGCTAAAACTCACTGTGCATCGATTCAGGCAATTTTCACAAGATACGCGACTTATGCTAAACCAATATTTTTTGCTCAGTTGAAACCACAGCTTATACTATTCTCATGTTTTTAGAGGAAAAATACACATTCATGACTGTTGACCCTTTACTCTTGACCAAACCTTTTGTGTAGTATACAAATTGTAAAGTGTTATTTGCTTAGTCTCTTATGGTAAAAGATGCAAAAGACAGAAATAGGCAATTACCAGGAAAGAGAAAGTGACGTGAATCCCAATGCAAAACAGTTAAAATGAAGAATAATGAATTTGCATTTAATTTTAAGCTCTGTCTGTGTTATGAGCTGCATAATCGTCTACTACAGGGATTCTCTAATTTTGCATGTGACACAGGACAGGATACGGCAAACGCTGCCTTTAAAATTCAAGTCACTGGTTCTCACACAGCAGGGCTCTTATAATTTCAGCATAAACAGCTGAGCATATTGTTCAAAACAGCAATTAAATGTTCTCTCCCTGAATTTCATAATACCACCTAATTATATAGTCCACTTCAATGTCTGCAAAATTTAGCACAAAGCAACAGCACTGCAATCTAAGACATTATTGTATCATACAAATCCGTGATATTGAGCACTATAAGAAGCACAACGAGGACCGTAGAACGTGAACATATCATAAACATATTCATGTATGTTAAGGTCCACCATGATACCAGAGGAGGTGTGAAAGAGTAGGTTAAGAAAAAGGAAGGAAAAAAGAGTGGTTTTGGACATTAGGGGTGAGATGAGAGGGGTGAGAAGGAGGGGTGAGGAGGGGGAGAAAAGGAAGGATGATATTAAGAGGGGGTGTTGAATGGAGCCATACTGGGAAAGGGATGTGTACATTATGTATGTGTGGGTGCTTGTGTGTGCACGTTTGAATGTATGGCAGAGAGGGAGGACTATTAATGTGACAAATGACGATTTCATCTGCTGACTGCAAGCACAGTACTACATTAAGGCTCTGTAAATCATGAGTACAGGGGCAACTAAATAACATACTGCGGACTAGCGGGCAAGTGGGAATGTCAGAGACCCAAGGTAGAGGAAGATGCACTGTAGTTGTTGTAGTTAAAGTCGAACAAGGAAGAGAGTGCAGAACGAGGAAAAGTGCAGAAGAAAAAGAGGGATCATTTGTAGCCGTTTGCATGGATGCTCAGGAGGGTGCAGGAAAGACAATGTTCTTCTCCTGAGCAGGAAGTGTGTTAGGGTTTCTGTGTGTGTGTGGGAGCAAGACATAAAGACAGACTTACATGGATGCCAACATGTGCAACAGGGCACTTGGCAGATATTCCTTAGTGCAACATGAAATGCTAATACTCAGTAGGAAGTCATGTGATTGACAGAAATACAAATCTAGAGCATGCTTTAACACTGGTACAATGTCTAAATGTGTAACAATAAACTGTGTACTGAGAACAGAGACAGTCTGTTCCTGAGAGTTGCTGGTTCCCTGTTAACAAGTTTTCTGAGATGCAACCTACCCACACTAAACTTTATACTCCATATCCAGGGCTGGATATGGTATTATTTCTGTCTGGATTTAATTTGAAAGATGCTACATGTACTGTTTTTCAATATAAATATAATAGAAACATTCAATGTGAAAAAAGCCAACTGCCCTATCTAGAGCTAGTTTTAGTAGTTTTTTGTTTGTCTATTCTGGGTTACTGTAGAAACATGGCAGTTCAACATGGCAGCCTCCAGGGTCATTCTAAAGGTAACAAAAACATAAATACATAGTTATGCATATTATATTCAATTTCTGGTTGCTTAATTACTGGACCTGGAATGTCTTTGGGTTTTGGACTGCTGGTTGGACAAGATGTCACCTTGGGCTTTCTGAACTTATAAAGAGTTCAGAAGTTCAGAAAGAGTTCTAAAAGTCAAGAAAATAATCCAGAACATTAATTGATAATGAATATGTAGGTAGTTATTTTGCAAAGTAAAACATCTATAATTTATTTCACTCATTCCACTATCTGTCAATGGAAAAAGCTCAAAATATTTTACCTAATCTATACTTAATGGCGGTTCATATAGTATTATATTTTTTTCTTTTTTTGATCCGTACCCCAGTCCCTTGGCCACTTTTAGCAGACTGTGGCTAAAGTGCATCTGCGGCCATTTTGGCTTCATAATGGATACCCCAGGCCCATTACACAGCAGACAGCCCACTGACAGGAGGCAGGAGTGCTCCACAGTCATTGGCAAGGATGATAATGGTGGAATAATGACTCTTAAATGTTCCCCCTGAAGTGGACAGGGGCCATCACTCATTTCCTGCTAGCTATCTGACATTGAATGTTATCATATAACAGCAGTCTTATACATACACCTTAAAAGAATAGCGTCCTCTGCCAGGATAAAGCATATAAAGCATCCTAAAACCATTGATCTATTCTAATTCTATTTATCTGGGCTAATTTGATAAATGTATAGACTGTGTGTATGGATGGAAATTGATGGATGGATTTTAACAAGTCTAGTGTAATTAAAGGAGTTCTAATAGGGAGATGAAAACAACAGCTGCTTTCTTTGGAAAGAGAATTTCTAATCTATCAAGCCCATTGTGGACATTTTCTTCTCAGTAATGGTGTGACTGATCGATGGTTGATAAATTCAGTAGAGGTGGATGAATTTTGCATATCTTTAAAATCATGATACATTTACCATTACAATGAGATCATGTAATGCTTAACTGTCAGCAAATTCAGAGACCTAATCAGCGAAGGGGCTGGGAGACTGTGAGCGATTCTTTCATTTTCCTTGCACTCATAACTGACACCATTATAAAGGACATCTGCCATGCAGATTAAAGCGAATCAACAAAAGCATAGTGCATTTTTCTGCAGTAGTCCTTGCCTCATCAGACCAGACCAGTTCAGTTTTGCACGAATGTCTAGGGAGAGGGAAAATTATTATCAAGACACCAGGCTGAAAGAAGACATTACAACTTTGTGCCTTACAATCTGTTTGCCTGTGAAAACATGATGTCATTAGTGTATTGTCCTCATTTTACCAATGTAACATGAAGGGATAAAACAAACCACCTTGCCACTACTGTAGTGAATATTGCATAAATTGGGTCTGTCTCAGTGATTTCACAGTCTAAATAAGACAGTCTCATTTAGTTTGCTCTGACTCAGAGCACAATCCTAAGATTCAAAAGAGAATGTCACCACTGTGATAAATGCAGCAATGTTGTCAACACCGTTCTACCCTGCAGTGACAATAGTGTAACTCTGATCTAATTGACATAGCTTGTAATATGTGATTCAGAATGGAATGTTGCCTGTTTTGTATTATCATAAGGCCGCTTGAAAAGGCTGTTTTATAACCCTTTTTAGGATGAGCACCTTTTTATTCCCTCTAAAAAAAGGAAATCATGAGATAAAGAAGATTATACTTCATAATGTAAATTAGAATGTGATCAAACAAGAGTAAGAAACCTATTATTGATACAACATCCGACTGTAATTTTTACACACATAAAGGAACCACAGTTGGTGCCAAGAAAGAAAAAGATCTACCAAATATTTACACATACCTCTGGGCACGTGAGTGTATCAATGCTAGATCATATTCCTCCTCCTTTCAACACTAATTATAGATTGAG